AATACATCTCTGGTAAACACCAAGTAATTATTCACTGCATGTTTCTTTGCTCTCCCCCAAAAATTGATCCAACAAATATACCATAGAAATATCTCCATTCCCACAAAAGCACTTGAAAGCTTAAAATAAGAGTGTTACCTTCTAGGCTTCTCAATATTCCCAAGGCTTCTCTATCTCCATGTTCACATACCAAAATCTTCCTTCTCCTTCGGAGAAGCCCTAATTCATTTTCCCTATGGAGGCTTCGCAATACTGCTCTCCCTAAACACACAGCAGAGGCCCACAAATACCATGTCCGTAGATTTAGAAATGTTTCAGATTTGTCAAGTTCTCACATTCTCCATCTTTCATATTTAAAAATATTTATTAAATTTATGAGCCAGAAATTGAGAAACATATGGAGTTAAGGAAAGACAGAAAAAAATAGTCTATTCATTCAACTTTTCCCAGCTGCCATTCTTGAACTGGGAGATTTGGCTGAGCTCTCAGGTAATGTTATGCAATAAAACTGCCATAGGATGCCAAATTTAGGTCCAGCATGAAAAGAAAACAAAATGCCTCCTACAAGATAAACTCTTTGATTTGGAAATGGGAGTTTTCAGGGTCCCACATTAAACCTTCATAGTGATGGTTTCCATAAGGGTGAGAATCAGCCCACCTTTTGGAGACTTTCTGAATGGGGCAATGTAGAAAAACTCTTAAAAAGCACTCATTTCCCTGAATGGAGACCTGTTTCTACTGGGAGCTCTGTTTTCTCCTTTTTTTGGAAAGAATCCGCTCTGCAATATCCTGGCTATAGTTGCGGAGTAGAGACGGAGAGGCCAGTCCAGGTGCTGGAGACTTTGTACAATGAATACCATTCTTTGCTGTTCGGATTCCGTCTCTTCTCCCAGTTGGCTCACATGTAACCCCCTGTGCTAACCCACCTGAGAAGCTGAGTGGGTGCTTCCTCAACACAACTAAAGCCAGAGACATGACAAACAAAGGAGTAGGATGAACCCTCTCAGAATGACTGAGTGTTGTATAAGCTCGTATAAAAGTCTGGTTCCTTTTATTGTTTCTTCTACACCTATGTGCATGGACTATATATATGTGTGTATATGTGTGTGTGTATGAGTGTATATACATATATACACACATATATATGTAATATTGTAGTTACGTTATATTCCCAGTTTTAGATAGAAAGTTTTGCGTCCCAGGAAACCCTACATCCTGAGCAAACTGGAAAACTGGTCACTCTTTGTTAGAAAACTGTTCAAGTGGCAGGTACTAATTAGGTTTCACATCTACTTATGCCCAAGGTAACATGCCTGAAACCACATCTTCTTCATTAGTTCAACCTCCAGTCTTGTTCCAGAATTCCGTTGACCTACTATCCCAGAGAATAGTTGTGACTGCAGATCAATCCTGGCCAATCTCTTACAAGCAGGGAAGAACCAGGCTCTGGAAATAGAGGTCTGGGTGACAGTGACTCAGGAGATCTGCCATTGGAACTGCTGATAAATCTGAGATGGCAAAGCTAGATATCTCCCTCGCTGCCTTTGTGCGATGAGAAGCACAATGCCCTGTGTTTCACTCCTCTACTGGGCTGTTAAAATGTGGCAGTGTTTATGTTGCAATAACTATATCGCTTCATTCACCTGGCCTGTGTTCACAGGACACACGAGCCCATCTGCAAGTTCCAACTCAGGCAGCACATTGTGCCTGTTCTCCCTACTTCCTTCTCATGATTCAGACCTTGGTGCAGTGTCCAGTTTATAAATCCAGACTGGTCCATCCCTCAGAGCAAGTTCCTTCTCAGAAGCCTCATTGTCCTGTCCTGTATTTGCCCTCAGTTGGGGACCCCCTAGTCCTTTAGACATGGGGTGGGGCAACAAACATACCATCCACCCTTCATATATCCATAAGTGCATGGACACGAGGAAAAGAAAGATCACCATATCCACGGATCAGGAGTACCTGAACCCCAGAAGACAATTCTCCTCTCCCAGAGGTTAGAGGAGGAGTTAGGAAGAGGAACTCTGTGGCATTTGTGCCGCAGATCCCATGACTAGCCAAAATATCTTGTTGCATGACATTTTATAGCACAAAACCATCATCTTCGTCAGTCTGGCCTCTATCATAGATGGGGCAGCTTAAACAGCACACATTTATTTCTCACAGTTCTGGAGGCTGGGAAGCCCAGATCACCAGCAGATGTGCGTCTGGTGAAGGCCTTCTTCCTGGTTTGCAGACGGCCTTCTCCTTACGTCCTCCCATGGCTGCGAGCACAGAAAAGCAGGCTCACTTAGTGAGTCTCTTCTCATAAAGGGACTAATCCCGTCATGAGGGTGCCGCTCCTATGACCTAATTAACTGCAGAAGGCCACATTTCCAAATACCTTCACATGCGGAATTAAGGTTTCAACGCATGAATTTGGTGGGGAGCAGACGCAAACTTTAAGTCCATACAAGCATTCATAAAGGGCTATATTGAAAGGTGGTGTAAAGAGAAGAGATATGTGGGGGATAGCACTCTTTGTTCAACTGAAAGTTCATCTTGTACAACATTTCTTCTCTGTAATACTCAGTTCTCTCATCTGGTTTCTTTATTTCCTGCACAAGTACCACAGTCTGAATTGGCTGTGATAAGGCAAAAATTTTGAAATGTCCTAAGATAAATGACACAAGAGCCAGTGAATGAGGGACAGAGACAAGGGAAGGTCATCAGTCAACAGTCACAGGCCACAGCTAACCAGACGCTCCATGCTCTGGGTGAAGTCATTTCAGCAACAATCTAGAAGGTCCCAGGACCACTGCATCCCCCTTGCATGTGACCAGTGTCTGACAGTCATCAACAAACAACCCACAAGCCTTCTCTGTGGACTATCTACCTATCCCAGGACTTTCCCCACTTCACATTAGCCCACCTTCCTTATCTGTAGCCAATGTGAATTTAAAGAATTTTCTTTCCATGAGACCGCCTCATAAATGTTTCCTGTGTCTTGAGTCTGGCAGACAAGTGGTTTCTGTTAACTGGTCTTGCTGCTGGTGAAGCAGAAATTTCCTGCCCCAGGGCTCAGGAAATTTATCTGGCTAGCATCTGCAAAGGCTCAATAACCCCTTTTATTTCATAAATCTCCTGGTCTCTAGAGTTTTTGATTTGTCAGTTGAAATCAAACAATCTGAAAGCATTTTTTGATATAAATATATATTTATATATATTTGGACTACTAAGTCATTGTCCTGTGGAATTTGGGAATTCCTACAATGCTGATAAACTGACCACTATTATTCTCATTGTTATCTGTATTAGTGGTAGAGTAGTATTAACAATAATTAACATCTATTTAATTGCTTGGAAGTATCCAGTCCTGCAGAAGTGGGTAATTGAGAAAATGACATTTGCTAACTTGAGATAGTAATGCATTTATTAAGAGAACATGGAGACCCAAGAGGTGGTGCATGTCAAGTCTCATAGCTGGCAAATGGCTCTGCCCGTTTTTATGACATCAGAGAAAGACAGAAACTCTCTGATGTCGCCAACCCCTTCCCACCTCACTTAATTAGAGAAATCCTTCAGAGAAAGGAGAAAGTTCCAGGAATAAAAGTTAAGAAGAAACTTTCCAAATGTTAGCAACTGGGAGCGTCTCAGGGCACGAGGAGTTTTGAGGCTGTGATACCCCTGCAGAGGCCGTTATTTTAAGGAAGGTAGAGCAGAACTCTCTGAAAGTTGCCACCACCCACTTCAGAAGCCTCAAGAAGGCCCCCAGGCAGAAAAGACACCACTAGAGCTGCAATGCCATACAGATGTCTGGCAGCATAATACTTTGGGTGCCCACCTTTAAATATTTATTTTCTTATTTTTTTAAGGTGATAGTCATTGCTATATGAGGAAAAGATGGAGGAGGGTAATCTTTGGCAGATGCCCTCTGCCTCTCCGTTTGCAAAACAATTTACACAACCCTCTCTTAGGAAGATGAATTATGTCCTTGACAAATTCACCCTCCTTGAAAAGGAATTTTAGCAATGAGCAGTAGTCAAGCAGGCCCCCTGAGGTCTCACATCATCTGTTTAGACCTGCATTCCCTCCCCCAACCCTTGACAACTCCCTGGAAAATCCAATTTTATCCGTTTTCCTCCATTTCTAGGTACATTTTAGCACCTTGTAAGGGTTAGCACTTTAAGCAGTCCTTCATAAGCTTGCTTCATCTGTCTCCACATTCACATAGACATCAAATTGTATTAAAATTGAAAACGGGAGGGGGAAGGACAAGGAAGGTGGAGATAGCCTGAGTAATCAATTTGGTTCTCTCTTGCCCTTAGGCCGTGTTGACACAGCTTAGCTCCTGCCTGCTTCTCCCAGAGGGGCTTATCTGCTACACACCAACTCCATTAATCTTCCTGAAAGGCAAATGTGTTCAGGACAATGTTAACACTTAACTCTCCTGAAGAGAAGACAGAAACTGTGAAATCCGGAAGACAGGACTCAGGGACCTGCACCAGCAGTTCAGACAGGCCTCAGCAGGATGGATTCCACATGGAGAGAAAGTGGTAGGCAGGAAATCGGGCCTTGTAAACTTGAACACCAGCATCAAACCAAATCAAAGTGAAACCAAACCAAACCAATTGAAAAACAAATATAAACAGAAAACAAAACCAACTGATGCTAACAACCAAATAAATACCTGGGTCATTCCTGGGCAACATTAGCCAGATTTTTCTTTAGGGTTTCAAGTAGGCAAAATAACATTTAACTGATAATTGCTCTTTTCATTTTATTAAGTAATAGGTGTGGTGCAAACCATCTATGCAATTATAGTAAATAAGAGAAAAAAGTATTATGGAATAGATACTTTTGGCCCTTGTAAGTTCGGGGAGAGGAAATCCTGGGACAAAATACCTCTAAAAACCGAAATCAGTCAAAGGGAGAAATAAAGTTTAAAACCCATTTATTGCTTACAAACTGCAGTCCAAGGCTGTCTCTCTCCTCGGCTCTGGAAGAAGCCAGCAAGCAAGCCAGCCCCTCCCCTTAACCTCTCAGGTTCAGACATGCCCTCGGTTGCCCAGGTAATTACCCCTTGACATGGAGATGAACCTCTCTCCACCCTTGAGGATGTGCAACTGCACCAAAGCCGGGCGAGATATTCTGGAAATGTTCCAATTTTACCCACAGTCCTTAAGATACCTAAGTATTTTCACGTTGATAGTACTACCTTCTCCCCTTTGCCAGGCTCAGAGAGGCCCTCACACAGCCATCAGGATGGTCTACCGGGACCTGTCAAGCTCTCTCCTGACACCAGGTTGTCTTGAGGATGAAGTTTTCCCCTGAGAAGTGGGATGAATTGATGTCTGTCCTCCATGCGCATCTTTGTGCTGATCCTCTCTTGTGGTCCCTGCTTTCCCACCCTGTTTCTCCAGTAGTAAGGAGATTCAAAAGACTAGTCTTGTCATTTGTAGATTTACAATCCTTGTTGTGTCCATTCGCCAGAGACCCTGAAAGACACAGGGTAATTTGTGATATTTCTTGGGCAGGAATTTGAAACATTTTCCAGCACGGCCCCATACCCAGAATCACAGTGTCAGTTTATGCAATTCAAATGCACTCTGAAGTGCAAGCTCCTCAGGAGGTTTTTGCTACAAAAGCTATAGGGACACAACTAGATTTAACTGCATTGATGTGGATTAGGGGATCTTTCTAGTGCAAGGACTGACTCAGAGCCTGCAAAGGTTACACAGCTCCTGGAGGAAAACAGAAGAAGTGCAGGTCAAACTTTCCATCAACTTTGACCACTGTGACCTTGGTTACAGCAGACAGATCCGCAGCACTGCCAATTAGGCTGGCCACTGCCCTCTTGACCTTCTAGATATCTTACAACCACTGTCCCCAGAGACATGCCTATAGATGCTTTGGATAAAAGGCTTACCTTTGCCCACAGATAACCTGATGTTGCCAGATACCATCAGTCAATAGGCTCAATGAGGTAGCCTTCATATAAGAAAGAAGTCTTCTCTTTTTCTAACTGTAACTCTGAGGTGGAGTCGGGGTGGTGGAATCTGTTCCCAGCCCAGGGCAAAAATCAGTCAAAGGGAGAAATAAAGTGGGAAAAACCCATTTATTGCTTACAAGCAGTCACCCACTTCTGCTCTTCCATGTCTCTCTTGACGGGGCTGCAAAAAGGGGCCCCACCCAACCTCTCTGGTCCAGATAGGCCCTCACTCCCCCAAGTAATCACGTATTGATAGGAAGGTGGACTAATTCTCTCCACCCTTTGGAAACACCTACTGATATGGAGATGCATGAAGGCCAGGCAAGAGATTCTGGAAATACTGTAATTTTACTCACACTATTGAAATGATAACCATATGATCAGCCCATAGGGAAAGGGACTTTTGTCACCTCTTAAGGACTTTTTTCTCCCTCTTACTAGATGTCTTCTTAAAGAAAGGAATGATTTATCTTATTGGTGAGGACCTGATTGCCAGTACACTACACTGCCTGTGTTACTAGTAAAGAGTCTTTGCTTCAAAAGCAAGAAACCATCTCTCTTTTGCATGCTGTCCTCACCTTGCACTAGTCTGCAGGTTGAGTAGACAGGTGATGAGATCTTTTCTTCTCCACTGGTGCCTGGGTAGGAAAGTGGGGGAGGCATGTCACAGTGGGGGCCAATTCATTTCATTCAAAAGGTGAGAATGGCAATCCCTGATTTTGGCCTCCTGCTTAAGCTGCATCCCCAAAATAGTTTTCCAGGAAGCCTTGTCATCTGGATAACAAAGCTGATGGTTTGATCCTGTTTGACTCAAATCTTTGTTCCTGTGTGTCCAGAGCCCTGGAGAGAAGGAAGACACCAGGTACCTTCACTCTGATCTTGGCCATGACATTAGCAGCATTGCACTCCCTTCTCCCACGCGCTGTGGGTGCCTGTCTCAAAGCCTGTCTAGTAGTTTCTGGGAGGCATGGGTGGGGTCTCATGAGCACTCAGAAGCAAGTCCTTTCTTATCACTTTCACTTGTCCTTTTACTTCTGCTCAGAAACAAGCCCTTTTCTCTCCCAGTCTGATCATGGCAAAGTGACACCCACAGGTCTTTCAAAAGAAGTACTTTCCCACTTCTGCAGCCACGGGTGGTGCCCTGTGAGGATGCTTCTCCTGCTCCCTCCTTCACCCTGCTTTTGGGCCCTGCACGGAATGGAAGGTTTGGCCTTGTGTTTCATCTGGGGAGAATTTTGACATCTGGTTGCCCAGGATCACTTCTCATGTCCCAGAGTTCACCACAGGAGAGGGCTCAACCAACATGGCACGTTCAGCTTCTGTGGGCTGGTCATGCTCGCTTCACAGAGCCTCGGGATGAGAGCCTGGGCTGTAGAGTTTTTCCTTTATTTTTCATTCCCCTTCTAATGTCATTTAAAAAGGCCTTCATGCAAATAAAGTCCTAAAGGCCAGAGTAGCCCCAGTTCTCTACTTCCTGGTTCATTAGGTCTCTCCTGGCTCCAGATTAGATATATGCAGATTTGGTGGCTGTGTTAAATAGGTTTAGGTAACCCAAAAACCATAACGCCCATAATGACAAATCCTGAAAGAAATAAAGAAGTTCAGAAAAACTGTGGAACCTCTTCTTGGTCATTCAAAGTGGGAATTTATCCAGATATAATCCTAACTAGATTTATCCACATATAATCCTACTAGAGTTAGGATTAGGGTAAACAGATACATGTACAGTTTGAACATCAGTCAAAACTGACTAGGGTCACAGGGATGTGGAAACACCACACACAGACTCAAGGACATTCACACTCAGTTGCATTTGTATTTATATGCCCCCTCCCGCTCAAGAAGATTTGAGGTAGCTTGCTGCACAAAGAAACTCCATGGAATAAAGGCTAAATAAGAACAAAGACAAATGGAGAAGTAGAAAATCTACACCATGACAAGGAAGAAAACAAATATATAGGCCATAAAGGCTAGCACGCTATAACAAAAGAGTTTGAATTTGATCCTGAGTTTCTTGACATCAGGAAGCATAAGTGACATAATTCTTACTGACTAAACAATTTTTTTAAAAAAAAAGCCTCAGAACATCCATTATTCCAGATAAGCAAATTTTAGAGAGTCCTTTGTCAGCCAAGCTTTCGTGAGACGTTGAATAGCAGACATTTCAAGGTTGCACTTGTTGATGAGGACTGAAGAGTTGGTATTTGCACAAGTGTTGAAGAGCAGATTCTTACGCCCCAGATCTTCATGGGAGGCCGAGGAGTTCTCCCAGCTTCTTTTGCCTGCATCTTCTATCTCGGTAGGAACTTTGGGGATATAGTCTAGCACACAAAGGGCCTCAGCTGATTTCTCAAACTGCACCATTATGAACCTTTTGCCAAGATTATTTAGTACTGAAGAATATTCCAACCAGTTGCTCAATCTGTCCACTTAAATAAATAAATAACATCTTTTGTAATGTTCCTCTGGAGTGACTGATTTGGGGTGTCCTGACACCTAGGGAATCTATGGGGTTGAAATAACTGCAAAATATGACCTTCCCCCCAATTAAATAATTTAATCTTCAATTTGGAGTACATTGATAGAAATGAATTGAATTTTGGAAAAGTTTGGCCAAGGATGATCATTTTGGTTTTAAAGTTGACTTTCTGTACTAAGCACTAGATCTAGCTGTCAGGATTATCTCTTATTTGTGACAATGAACCCATATTGTCAGTATATAAAATCACAATTTACCCTCTTCTATTCTTTATGGCATCAGCACATACATCTTGTTTGTCTAAAGACAATTTCATTTAGTGAAGTCTAGTCTAAAAATAAGAAAAGGCAGAACACAATCTGATTTAGAGCCCTCAAAAGTGTTCTATCATTGTTCAAGTAATTTTACCCAACACTTTAGAGTAGTGTTAAGATGTGGAGATGTAGGTTAAATATGGAAAACACCATGCAAGGTCTAACTTATGTAGTTTTCCCTATTAATAGTATCTGTTACAGGTCAAATATAGATAAAAAGTCCCAAAGAATTGCTAACAGTCGTATTATCCTACACATATTTTCCTGCAAGGAGTTAAAAGTAAAATAATCAGTGGTGAGGTGTTAACAATCCAAATTTATCTTTCAATTTATGTTAGCTGTTAAATAGAAGTTCAGTTTGTTAGAAAGAAAACGAGCATTGCATTTTGATTGAATGCCTACCAGAATGAGAGATCTATAATTTTGAGAGCATGAAAGACTGGTTTTAAAAAATGGGAAAATTCTGTTTTGAGTTTACTTATACATTATTGAAACAAGTTTAATTATAATAAAGACTGATGATGACTAGAGTCAACTGATCAGAACATGTTCAGAAAATTATGGTTTTATCTTCTGGTTGGGATATAGTAGGTCAAAGGAGGTCATCATTCCCACTGCCATAGTCAAGAAAAAGCTACACAAATTACCAAAATAAAAAAATTCACAATTTCAAGGATCAGAGATCTGTTGAAGCACTGAGGACTGGATCAAAAACTGAAATTTCAGAGAGAGGAAACCATTTCCATATAAGCAGTTGAACATCATTTTTTTTTCCACTGTGGGTATTTGACGAATTTAGTTGTGGGGTAAGAATTGCCCTTTCCAAGACAGAGAGCATCTGGAGAAAGAGGAAAAAAAGCAAAGCTTTTGGCCATGAATGGACCTGAAGCTAACTGCTAGAAAACATAGAAGGCTCCAAAGATTCAACCCCATGGAATGTTTATTGAGCTCTGAGTTATAAGGAAGCCTAGACAACTGGGCAGAAAACTTTGAAAAGGAGCAGTGAAATTTTATATCCAGTGCTGAAGAAACAAAGACCTGTAAGAGGGGGAAGCCTGCCTCAAGACAGATGCCAAATTTTGAAGTTGTATGGGCAGGGAGGCTAAGGAGGGATGCTGAAAATCTGTGCAGGTCAGACCTGAATCTCCCACAGATTTTTAGGACTAAGGTTCTCAATTAAAAACCTGGGACCCACAGCTAATAAAAGACAATCAGAAGTGAACTGAGCTTTTCAACTGCTACCCAGTCCAAATCAATCTCAACTCCTCATCGTATTGAGATCAGTGACTTGACTTTTCTACCTAACAGAGGAAAGGGGGACCTCTTTTGGGTAGAAGTTAATTTCATTCAGAGCTTCTGTGGTTCTTTTATGCAAAATACACATTCTACAATAGAAACAGGCCCAGAGATAATTCAGATATTGGAATCAGCAGTTAAGGGCTTTAAAGTAAATACAATTAATATTTTCAAAAAAATATTTCAAGAAAATAGAGAAACAGATGGACAGAAACAAATGCATATGCATAAATTTCACAGGTAATTTGAATCTACATTTTTTAAAAAGTATCAAATAGACGTTCTAGAAATTGAAAATTACAAATGTCTGAAATTAAGAAGTGGGCTTGATACCAGGTTAAGATGTTCTTGATCCAAGTGTTTTGCTGTGTTTCAGCTGAAGTACAGGAAGGAAAAAGAAAAATCTAAAAGCTTATA